GTCCTAGTGCCAGCGTCTCCCATCTGGATGATTGCAAAAGGCTTCTCACCGACCTCCCTGCTTCTGCTCTCCCCACTTTCATCTGTTGTCATTTAGAGCAGCCGGAGTGATGTAGGTCAGATTATATCGCTCTGCTCCAGGCTGTTCAGAAGCTTCCTTGTCACCTAGAGCACAAGCCCAAGTCCCTGCAGTGGTCTCGTTGGCCTCGCGAGCTCCAGCTCTTCCCTGCTCACTCCCGTTGAGCCATGGTTCTTTCTCCACATGTTCGCGTGGCTTTCTGCCTCACACTATCAAGTCTTTCAAAGGTCACCTTCTTTGTTGTACTTTTTTCCACAGCACCTATCTCCACCAGATATGCTGTGCATTGTTTATTGTCTGCCCACATGGAAATGTAAGCATCACGAAATCAAGGTTTTTCTTTTTTCACTTATTCACTGCTCCATTCCCAGCATCTGGAACAATGCCTGACATCAATCAGTAGCTCATTAAATTGGTCAGTGAATAAATAGAAGGAAACTTAGTAAAGCATTTTTTAAAAATACAGTATTTGGGGAGCAGACCTAGCATCGTCCTTCATTATTGCCATAATTATTTCTATCCAGCTACCACACCACTTTTGTCTATTGATTAGCTTTGTGAAATTCATTGACCCCCATTTGCAAAGCTTGTATTTTAGTTTTTGTGCCACAATTGGTAATAGTGACAACCACGATTCTATAAACTCACTTAATCAAACATAAAATAATTAAGTTAGTGCTAGACCTATTGTGGCCACGCCAGCTCTCTGTGAAGTCGATGATCGATGAGCATTCTGTGCAAAGGAGAGGCCTAATTCAAACGAAATGTGTCATTTTACTCCAGACTTGTGAACACCGAGAACTCTGGCATTTGTATTTATTACTTTTTACAGGTTTTCAATGCCAAGAAGGTGGTCTCAGCTTTTTATATCTGTACAAGCTTTTCTGGACTTTCTCCTCTCGTTTCTTTTCCCTGTGTGTTTTGTTTAGAATGAGCTGGCCTAAAATAGTCTCTGAATGATTAGTTCTCTCACAGTGTGTGTAAGCGTTTCCAAATGGTGATTATTAGCATGTGTTTAGCAATTTCAGAGCCTCTGCAGTTTTTAGCTGTAAGAACTTATATTGATATATCACTTACCTTTCGATAGCCAATGCCAAAAAAAAAAGTTAGGAAAAGAAAATTTGCAACAAGGAATGACAAAAGACTTTCTGGAAAATATTGTTCATTTAAAAAAAAAAGTTCTTTAAAACATTAGGTATATTTTTTGTGGAAGATGATTTAAGCTATCATTTCAAAGTAGCTTTATATCCTACCAGGTAGTATATTGTAGAGAAACATTTTGAGCAAACCAAAAGGTTGACACCGCATCTCAGACTTTTTCAATGCTGATTTAAATTCAGTGCTTGTAACGTGACAGGTTTTGTAATACAGGTAAGACTGTAACTTATAGAATGCGGGATATTATCTACTGCTTAAATTTTACTTAAAGCAGTGAAAGTACTAGCTTTTTGGCATTAACGTTAATAATAGGTATTTGTCTTCTTAGTTTCCTAAGCCCTTTCATAATTACTGTTCAATTTAATGATTTGATAAAGTCTCACAACTACAGTTATAGTGCTCAAGTATCGTCTGCTGTGTTAAAAGTAAGAGTCAAGCTTTGGCGATTACTCTTATTAGTTTCTAGTTTATTTTTTGTTCAAATCTTTGTTCCTTGGAAATTATTTTAGTCTTATGTGTGAAGTTTAAAACTTTTAGATCTTTATGAAATTAGAGCCAGAGCTGGGCACAGTGGCTCACACCTGTAGTCCTAGTACTTTCGGAGGCCAAGGCAGGAGTTCAAGACTAGCCTGAGCATGAGCAAGACCCTGTCTCTACAAGAAATGGAAAAATTAGCCTGGCAAGTTGGCCCACCTATAGTCCTAGCTACTAGGGAGGCTGAGGCAGGAGGATGGCTTGAGTCCAGGAGTTTGACGTTGCAGTGAGCTATGACGACACCACTGTACTCTAGCCTGGGCAACAGAGTGAGACCCCATCTCAAAAAATTAAAAAAAATTAAAAAAAACAAAAGAAATTAGAGTCAGTGTTACATGAATTTTAGGCAACAACATATATTCATAGTGCTTAGAAAATGCTTGTTCTTATCACCTCACTACTCCATTCTGTCTCTTTTCATCTCACCATGTGGCAAAGTAATTGTAGTTAGCTAGAGAATCCCAACATTTAAGCCATTCTCCAGTACTGATAAGAAGTCTTAAGTCTAATCATTTCTTTTGTGTGTCGAAACATAGTAAAGCGTAAGCGGCTCCTGCCAGGTGTGAAAGTATAACACATCAAAATACGTTTTCATTTCTTCACCATTTTTCTTTAAATGTAATGATAAAATGTATATCTTATATTTTTCTTTTAAGTCAGGGAACAAATTTGTTGACCTGTATTATCTGTAAAAATATTTATTATAAAAGTAAAAATAATGTCTTTAACATTCATCAGGAAACAGAAATAGTTATTTTGCCAATCAAGAATATAAACTACTGACATGAAAATAAATGTTAAAAATTTGGTTAGGTCTAAAGGTTGGAAAATGCTGCCAAGACAAATCACTAGAAATCTCTGTAGATAATTGCTTTAAAGTCTTTGTATGTTAGCTATGTGTTTCTCTTGTGCTTTCCCCTCCACAGGAGAGCCTGACAAGGAGCTGAACCCTAAGAAGAAGATCTGGGAGCAGATCCAGCCTGATCTTCGCACTAACGACGAGTGTGTGGCTATGTACAAAGGAGCCCCCTTCGAGGTCAAAGGGAAGGGCGTGTGTCGGGCTCAAACCATGGCCAACAGCGGAATCAAGTAAAATGAGATGCTCTTGTTACTGAAGTACATTGGAGAAAACTTTAATAATAATAAAGAGGATTAATATTTGTCACTTGTCCCTGAAATATGACTGGCTCATTTTGTGTTATTTCTCTTCTAGAGTTATCTAGTCTTTTACCTGCTATGTGTTGTTTTCAATAGACTGGGGAAACACTGCATTTTTAGCCATGGTTTATGATCATTTATAACAGAGGAAGTGGCTTGTGTGTTGTGATAATTTATTTTTTAGCAGGGATATTGGTTAGCAGGTTTTTTCTTTATACATTCAGATAACTTGAACTAGATTGGTATTTAGTATCTTATTTGTGGGCACATCATGCATGAAATTTCAAGCACTTGGATTAATATCTTGTGAACCTCTGTTATAAATGTACTGTCCTCTTCAAAAGTGATAAGTTGCAATTTTTGTCAGACTTATTAACTAGTCATATTGTAATAATATTGAAAATGATCAACTACTAATTCTAAGAGCCAGGCATAAAAGCTAGGACATAGAACATTTGAATATTTTTGCTTTGCTACCAAAGTAACCCTGACTAGTAATACTTAAAGTGACTTTTTTAAAAAAGTGATATTTCCAACTGTGTCTTGAATTTAATAGACATGCTGTAAAGTGGTGTCACTATAGTTACCAATAAATTGATCATACAAACAGCATTCCATTTTTTTCCTTTTAGCTATTTTATAAAGATTCTTTGCATACATAATAGAAGATAATTTATAGGTTATTATCTTTAGGGGGCATTGAAAATTGATATATTTTGCTTTTTCATGTACCATCATACTGTCAATATATTAAATTGTAGCCCCACACTTAACATCTATAGTACAACTATATTAACATGTCAGATACCTCTTTTCACTCATTTTTCAAGTATTACAGGAACAGTGAGAATTACCTGAGAAATTATGAACCACAAGGCCACAAGCTTTGAGACGGTTTCTAATGATTTGAACTACCAAAAAGGGACGGCATCCGTGGAAGCAGGAGTATAGACACTGAAAACACGTGCGTAACACAGAACACGTTCTAGCACTGTAGCTGTCTAAATCCTCCAGGGAGAGACCAAAAACAAAAAAAACCCTAACAACAACTATAAAACAATGTTGCGTGTTATAAAAGGTATAATTAAAGTTCATTTACTTAAATCCTCCTCTACTTTTTAGGCAAATGATATGTTGTACTTTTTTTTTTTTTTTTTTTGAGACAAAGTCTCACTCTGTCACCTGGGCTAGAGTGCTGTGGTGTCAGCCTATCTCACAGTAACCTCCAACTCCTGGGCTCAAGCGATCCTCCTGCCTCAGCCTCCCGAGTAGCTAATTTCTTTCCATTTTTAGTAGAGAGGGGGTCTTGCTCTTGCTCAGGCTGGTCTCGAACTCCAGAGCTCAAGCAATCTGCCCACCTCCGCCTCCCAGAGTGCTAGGATTACAGGCGTGAGCCACCACGCCCCGCCATGTTGTACTTTTTAAAATACACAAGTATACATTATCTGTGTACCTTGGCTACATAAATGGTGACACAAGTTCTGGTTCTAAGTGCGATGCAAAATTACAACCTTATCACTAGGACGCAGAATAAAAGAACTAGGGTACTGGCACAGTGGCTCACACCTGTAATCCTAACACTTTGAGAGGCCAAGGAAGGAGGATTGGTTGAGGCCAGGAGTTCAAGACCAGCCTGAGCAAGAGCGAGACCCCGTCTCTACAAAAAATAAAAAAATTATCCGAGCATGGTACCGCATGCCTGTAGTCCCAGCTACCCGGGAGGCTGAGGCAGGAGGATCACTTGAGCCCAGGAGTTTGAGGTTGCTGTGAGCTGTGATGACGCTGCTGCACGTTAGCGTGGGTGACAGAGCAAGACCATGTCTCAAAAAATAGAAAAGAAAAAGAACTAGGGGAGGCAAGTTAGTGTAACACAAATTGACAATAATACTGCAAACTGTTAACCTGTGGAGAAAGCTCTACCCTCCAAAATTTTAATTGAGGAATAACCATGCTTTCTCTAACAAATGTAAGGGGGATCTAATAATATCTGTCTACTGTCATCGATTTTATTACAGAATTATTACTAAGGTAGTGAATGCTTTATAACTTACAAAGTTTCCACATGTCATATTTACTTCTTACCTACTTGATGAAGATCTGTCATTTTAAGAGTCAACAGAAAAGTCAAATAAATGCCTGCACTCAGCTGAAACCTAGATCTTCTTTCAACTTTTACTAATCCTGTGCTCTTCATTAGATCGTGTTTTCTTCCACAGTAGTTAAATGGTCATGTGGTTTCTTTTGTATCAATGAAAATTTTGACTTTTATTTAAACTGTAGGGAAAGATACTGACAAATGCAAAAACAACCCCTAAACTCTAGTGTTCATCTAAGATTAGGGGGGCTCCTTTAGTAGAATGTTTAAGAGATTCTTAGGGGAGAGATGTTATTAAACACTCCTTTGTAGTGGTTATGAAGAGGATTTATCAATTTATCCATTTTTTTAAAATTTTATTTTATTTTTATTTGTTTGCTGTGGGAGTTTGTAGGAAGAACTCACTTGGCAAAACCAAGCTCCTACTCTGCTGCTGCTGGTGGCAGTTGCCTTTTTAAAGAGTCATAATGACTTGATTCTTTGAGTAGTGCCCTGTCGTTGAGGGCACTGAACCTATCCTGACAGTCCATCCCAAAAGCCAACGTGTGAGAGCAGTCACTAAATTCCAGGTAGGTAGGTAGATAGATAGATAGTAGGTAGGTAGATAGGTAGATAGATAGGTAGATGATTGAAAACAAAAACAACTCTTCATAGGTATACCCCATTGTGGTACCATTTGGATGAAAACCCCAAAACTTGAACAATGATGAAAAATAGGTTAGTTGCTCTTGGCTAATACATCTCTTTACAAAACT